TTGACATGGCCATTGATTATTGCAGTTCGTTTGTCCCACACTCGCTGGCTGCACTGGCACTTCCACTTAAAGAAGAACGGAGTAGTACACAATACTTCGAAGTAGCTGCCACCGTTATAATGCTAAGTGAAATATTTTCACTGTATCGAAAACCAAGTTTGGTCAGATCCTTGTGCCTGGCCTTTGCTGTGTACAGTAGCCAAACATGTGTAATCTTAAACAATTGGACATGATGTTCATAATATATACTCTTTCATGTTTTAGTCCACATTGATTGTTATATTTCTGAAACAACAGAGTCATTTTGCTACAAGAATTCATACTTGAAACTTTCCAGTGAGATAAGCTGGAAAATTCTCGAAACGTTATGCTTTTGCTGTCGAAACTTTTTACACTCAAGGTGACATCATGGAGAACATACTTCCACTGCTTGTCATGCTGGCTGCCCTCAACGACAGCTCCCATGAGTCACGTGCAATAAGCATCCCGACCAACAGATTTGACCTTGCGAGCCAAACTGACACGGACTGTCGATTCAAGTTTCGTTTCACCAAGCTCCAGATCATAGAGCTGGCCAAACTACTCGAGATTCCTGACCCATTCATCACCAAGGCGCGTTATCGAGCTACCGCACTCGTGGCTGTATGCATTATGCTGAACCGTCTCGCTTGGCCGCATCGACTCGGCACAATGGTTTAGACATCTGCGCGAAGTCGCGAGGTGCTCTCTTCAATTGCCACAGAAGTGATGCTGCATGTGTACCAACGTTTTGGTCATCTCCTGGAATGGTATGAAGAACGCCTAGACAAATCCTGGATGCAAAGGTGTGCGAAGGCGGTTCAAGAACGTGGCGCGCCTCTCTCAAGTTGCATTGGTTTCATTAACGGAATAGTCCGAGAGATTTGCCGTCCAGGAAGACGTATTCAAAAGGCCGCTTTCAACGAGCACAAGGTAAGATTGTGATTGAGTCATTTCTAATGTGTTCTTCAGCGCAAGCATGCTATGAAGTACCAAGCTGTTACGTCACCAGACGGAATTATTGTTCATCCCTTTGGCCCTGAGCCCGGCTCGCGCTATGACGCCTATCTCCTTGCGCGCAGCGAATTGGTGCAAAACTTGAAGCACAAGCTCGTCTTTGATGGCACTCGCTTTGTCATATACGGTGACCCAGCTCACGGAACAAACGATGTAATCGTGTCAGGTTTCAAAGGTGCTAGGCTGACAGATTGCGAATCGGAGTTCAATCGACGCATGAGTGCAGTGCGCGTGAGTGTCGAGTGGGGCTTTGCGATTGTGCGCAACTTGTGGACATTTGTTGATTATAAGGGAGGGCAAAAATTGTGGTTGCAAGCGATCAGAGTTAATTACAGTGTTGCGGTTATTCTGACTAACCTGCACACATGTATGAATGATGGAAATCAAGTCTCAACCTTCTTCGGAGTAAGACCTCCGACAGCAAAACAATATTTGCATTCCGAAGTCGATGTGTGAACAATTGTGATCACAAATACATTTTATTCACTACTCTTTGTTATCGTCCGAATCATATCCAAAGTGCCCCTTAGAAACTCTAGTTGTGCAAGACGTTCCTGTTGCTCCAAAGAAAAGCGAGCTTCCCGCTCGGCTTTATCCAGGTGATAACGCTTTTCTTCAAGCTCCAAGTTTCTCGCAGCAATGATATTTGCTTCCTTATGTACGGCGATCTCTTGCATTTTGAACTCGTGTGCGTTCTCGATAAAAGGTTTAATCGAAAGCAATGTGCTGGCCGATGTATCCGCTGAACCACGTTTCAATCGTTTCGACGACTGCTCATCGACGACATCGTCGTCGATGAGCAGTCCGTGTCGCTACTCTCGTGGCCAGCATCAACAGAGGAGCGGATCATCGACGCCATAGCTGCATTTCGAAGCATTTGCCCATCGGACTCTCGTTTGTCTTCATTCTTGCTCTTCTCTTCCTTGAATGCTCGTTTCTTCAGCGCAATGGAGTCGATCTATAGTCATGTAAGCTGACGTTCTCACAACAACATGTTACCATGTCCGACAGCTCCTGGAGAAGCTGGTCTCGTTCGTTGTACTCCTCGTCCGTCTCTGAAGCTCTCAAGGAGGCCATATTATCCTTGTGGAATGCCACTAGGAGGTTATCGCATCGTTTACGGCAACCGTTTGCATTGAGATTGCTCCCATGAATCGCTTGCATGTTTTTGCCAACCTCTGACCATCGTGCACTCATTTGACCATAAGGCGCGTCGTGTGGACATACAGATATGACCTCTTTGAGGAGATCGACGTCCTGCTGGAGCGTGAATCTATGCGCTGGTTTCTTTTTGGCACTTGTTGTCCCAACCAGTGTCCCCACCTGTTGCTCAGGCATTGGTAAAACAACGATTGGAGGGTGTGAAAACTTGTTTCCGGTGAGATGGCTGTTACTTGGAAAATTGTTTGTGTGAAATTGCCAGTGTGAGCATATGTTTGTCCCACTGGCAACTTTCACTGGAAATATTCCAGTAGCAAAATCACTCTAGGCCCTGGTCTGGGAATCAAATGCTTCATGTCTCTGTCTGACAATTTGACAACCATTGGTTCAATTTCCGGAAATCCGGAAAACGTTCATGCTTGGGTTCTGGCTCACGAGACAGAGACTCTCCATCCAC